TCCAGGGTTCGAATTCCGGTGGGTGCGCACTCTGAAGAGTCCCAAACTATGACGAAGCAGCTGTCCAGTACTCCCAGGTTTTCCAATGGTTCTCTAACTGATGTCAGCTCATGAAATCCTGTAACCAATCAAATCCTTACTAACCAACACTTGAATTATTTTTATAATATTCTTTAGAGGATCTATGATTTATCCACTTCAACTCTACCGCCTTAGCACATGATTTGAATTATCTTTATCCTTATCATATGTGCAATATTGACTGAGCAATTTCTAGTGCCATTTAAGGCCTCCTTTTTTCTGTAATATAGATACGACTCTACAGTTGGCTTGAAAATGAAGTCACTGGAGAGAAAGAAATGATTCTTCGCTGAACATAAAACTGTGTTTTTCTCTATGAACTAATGGGTATATTTCTCGAAAAATAAAAAAGTTACGTTACATTGTGAAGACTGATAACATAAAAGTTTTAATAATGAAAACAGAATTGATTTAGAATGACAGGTGGGTCAAGGGAAATAATACAGGGGACAATTCAAAGTGAGAATAATAATAATAGTAGTGGTAACAATTGACATAATAAGGGACGAGTATACAAACTGAATGTAGAAAACGGAGAGTAAGTAGAAACATGAATATAAATGGAGATTATCATACTTTAGCATAGAGGGATGAAGACCATGAAAGTTGGAGGGACTGAGTGAAACAGTTAAGCACAAATCACTATGTATCCGACTCATCTGTATTGCTGAAGCTTTGATCATCGAAATAGAGAAGCCAGATCTCTGTATACAGATACCGCTTAATGAATATCGCTTTGGCGTTTGAAACACTAAGTGTTGTGTGCAAATGTCATGGCAGACACTATCAGTCTTCGGAATACACAAACTTCCAGCTGAACTGTTCTAAACGGACGGAAATGTGCATACTGTATTTCACTGATGTGCCAAATAATACTATTTCTGAGTTCTTTTCAACCATTTAAGGTAATTTTAAGAATCATTATTTTAAAAGATTTAAATTCAACTTTCACATCACTGTGTGGCGTGTGATCTTAACAAAATTTTGCAAGTAGTACATTGTTATTTGACGTTTTCTGCGAAAGTCGTTAGTGGAATAGAGATGGGTGAAGTAGCAAACAACAGAAACAGAGAAAACTGTGAATCAATTTGAAAAGCATGAAATAAGTACAGAAAACCTCAAATGAAAATCACGTGCGAGCCGGAGTTTCAGTGTTTGATTTTTATTACTCCCAAGTGGAACATAGGACTTCAATTCGTGAAAACAGTGTTCCAATTTATCAGGTTTCAGTAGCAGTAATGATGTTGTGATGAGGTGGTGTTGCTAACTTCCTGCCTCTCTCTCTCAAATTATCTCGTCACCTGGAGAAATTGACTGTTTATCCTGTTTCTTTATTTAATTCTTCCTAACCCTAAAGCTTATATTTCTGTTGATGACAATATACACCAATACGTCATTTTATCTCATAATCTTACTGACTGTACGTATTGTATACACATTTAAATGACACTCAAAACTAACAGACCATTACAGTTATTGAACAAAGCCGGAACTATACTTTTTGCAAAATAATATGGTACCATCGTTGTTTATTTTGTTGGCTTCTCATCAGATGCTTACATGATGTCAGTTGACAGGAGGTTCTGGAATCAGTGAACGGTCCTAAGAAGATTACGCTTATATAGCTTTTACACAAGAATTTCAAGTTTAAGCAAGGTAAATGTTAATTTGGTGGATAGTGACTAGCAGTGGAATCCAGGATGCGCATTTCGTCCTGTATGGGACTCGTCACTGGATGTCAACCTGAGACCAAGGACTTCGGTCCAATTAATTGATGGAAAAACCTAAAATTCAAATGAAAATAAATGTTTGCATACAATTAACGAGAAAATCGTCCTTTTAATTATTTTTAACTATTATTTACTTAACATTTTACGTATCTCTCGTCCTTATCACTTAAATCTTTTACCGCTGTATGCAAACACTTGCATTGTTTACACTTCAACTTCTTGTGTAAAACTATATAAGCGTAATTTTCTGAGCACCGTTCACTAATTCCAGAACCACTGTCAACTGACATCATGTAAAACATGCAAGTATGTTAGAACTTTTCTGCAAATAAACTTAATAATTTCTGTAGGCTGTAAGCGGCTGATGAGAAGCCAACAGAATAAATGATGGTACCACATTATTTTTCAAAAACTCTTGTTCTGGCTTCATTCAAATTCTTAAAGGAGAATAAATGTAGGAAGTTTATGAAAAGCCGCCCCCCCCCCACAGAATCTTTCAAATTATTGTTATTATTATTTATTCTATCTTATAATTGGTTTTATAATACATTTTAATTAGCATCTACTGCCTATCATCATATCTAGTTTTAGTGGATCTACATTTGTACAGAATGCAGATGAATTTATTAAAAACGAATTGTTCACTAATTATTCTGGTTTTGAAATTAATACTTCTAAAAAACTAAACATGTCATTCTCATTGTCTTCTTTTGTAACAACTTACAGGCGGGCAGATAGATTTTTCAAACACATCAACTCGAAGGTAGAGGCAATTCAATTCACTTATGAATTGAAAAGTCAGGAAGGGGAGCTTCCAATGTTAGATTGTAACGTAGAAAGAAGATGGGAAGTTAAACAGTAGTGTTTACAGGAAACCCACAGATATTTGGACTTCCGATCATCCCACCCAATCTATGTCAGTAAAAATTGGTGAAATGTTATAGTGACAGAGCACAAAAACTAAGTAGTACCAAGGAAAATCTAAGGCAAGAAGTGATACACATGAAAGAAGCCTTGAAACTTAATAATTATCCGGATAAATTAGTCAGGAAATATGTAAGGAAATCTAAAAATAAAATAAATAATGAAAGTAGCGATACTGATGATAATAATAATGACGACATGCAAGTCAAATGTGAGCAAGATAATGACAATACCAACAATAAAGAATCTAAATCATCAGTAGTAATTCCATACGAGGAAGGGACCTCGGAAACCACCTCATGCAGAATTCTTAACAATGCTGGCAGGAATAAAAGTGGCTGGCATTCAAACCAACCACAAACTCAATTAGAAACAAGCTTTGTCGGTTAAAGGATCAATCCTGACAATGGAGCCTTTAAAACAAAACAATTTAGTTTATCTAATACCCTGTCTGACTGCAATGATTGTCAGGTCAAATACATAGGTCAAACCAGTAGAACACGGGCAGTCAGTCAGACTAGCCGAACATAAAAATCTGGCAAAATCTTGACTACTTGACCCAAATGAGATAAGAAATCTAGAGAATAGTTCAGCTATACCACTCACAACATGCAGTTACACACAACCATACAACAGGATGTATGGGATAGGATGACAGTCTTAAAATCTAATCTAATGTCACAGGGTGGAGGGAGGCAGAGATTGATAACAGAAGCTTTGTGTATCGAATCAACTGCAAATACATGTAATAAGAATGATTCATCACTTGTCCCTGATATCTGGAAAATTCTACTACCCCAACGACGACAAATAGGAGAGGACAAAGAAAACTATAAAACTCAAGTTTCGAAGTCGTGTGATTACAATTGATATGATTAAGAACAATAAATTTTGTTCGAAACTGTGTCATCCAGTAAGTAATACTGTTTCACTAACTGTAGGATATATCTTATAAACAAAGTAATAAGGTTCCTTAATCTTTCTAATAGCTCTCTGGGGCTTCCCATGGTTTAAAAGATGAGTAAACATAAATTTTATGTCCTGTCTCTAAAATATGTTTCTCAATAGAGGAGCTATGTCTTCTGTTTTCACCATGAATAGTATCAGGGGACTTTATTATCTTCTGAAGCCATTTAGGAATATTCTGTGAGGCCTTTACTTAATAATAAAAATAATAATCATAGTTAATCTCATTAGACATGGAGTTTACACTTTTGTCACACCACTGATTCAAAATACATTGTATATATTTAAGGAACGGATTTGAATTGCAACCTAGGTGGATATGATAAATGGTGGTATACTCTGTAAAGTTATTGTTTCAATGTGTAGCGTATAATAAAAAAATGTATGCATAAACGTCTTGTGTGCATGTGTAATGCAAGCTTTACAATCATACTAAAGTACATATGTACTTTGATTATATATATATATATATATATATATATATATATATGTAGTGGTCCACTTATTTGACTTATTTTATGGTGTAGCGGTCAGACCATAAATGAAATAGGTTTTATATTTTACATTGAAAATAGTATTTAGTGTGCAAAGTCGATTAACTGACGATTAAGTGGTATCTAAAACAAAATCCAAGGTCAAGTTTTTCTTTTCTCACCTTAATACTAGGATGATTCTATAGTCCAGTTTTAAATTGTGCCACAGCATCCAAATCAAATAAGTTTGATGAATCAAACCTACAATATTTGTAAATTCTTGCGTATTGGTAGTTCACTGAAGCGACTAGCCAGGATGAAGATATTGCCTCGATCTGAGTCGCCTTTATGAGATGTGTAACACTGGGCATACCATTGAAGAGCTCCACCCGCAAAACTGTATGATGTGGTATTTAAGTCACCTCGATGATATGTCTATCGAGCAGTACTGCTTGATGTGAATGATTTTCATATATATATATATATATATATATATATATATATATATATATATATATATAACCTTTTTTCTCAGTGATAAAAACACACAGTGCATTGTTTTATTTCGATTTCAGTATACACATATATTTACGAAAAAGTAGGTTGTAATAATAATAATAATAATAATAATTTTAATCATAAATAGAGTTAAAATTAGTTTGAAACAATCAAAAAGATAATTTGTGTTACAAGGTTGAAACAAGGTCAGTATGTTCATATAAACATTAAAAGTATTAATTCATTAAAAATGGAAGTTAATAAAGTGAAAACTAGATCGGGCTGTGAATCATTTATTCGACTATGTGAGAATATTCTTCCAACCTTGTTAGTTAAAAAATGAACCATAATAATAGTTTCTTTTATAATCGGCAATTATATAATCTAGAATATAAGTTGCGATTCTACCCGGTTCAACCTTTAATATTACACCATCTGCATTATTAGTATTGTCAATCGTGTTACATTTGTGTTCAGTAGCTACTAGGTTTTGATTATTGTATAAATTGGCTTCATTAGGCCATTTTAATCTATTTGAAATAGCCTCAGCTTTCAGTTGGTCAGCTGTCAAAGTCATTTCTTTCATTCCAGTTATTACTACATCCTTGATTAGATTGGTGACATCTATACGACATGGTTTAATGGTTTGATTATTATTCGGTTGTTCTAAATTTTCTAATCGAATTAGAATTTGATTCGGTACTCTAGGATCAGGTAGACTGGCTCTGTTCAACGGCCATGAAGTTAAAGTGAGTAAATGAATATGCTTTGGTAAGGCAATATTGATACCACTCCAACCATTGACTTGTGTTGGTTTCGGTTGGTGTTTAGCTGACATAAATAATGGGATAATTGGTCTGCTTACAGTATGAGCCATTATTCTATCCTCTGATTCAATAATCTTCAGTTCATCGAATCTTATTCGGTGTACACCTCGGACTATCAAACCTAGTAATTCAGAAAATAACAGGAGCAAGGAAAAATATTCTTCATTCATCATTAGTTATCATTACGTTATAATTCCACGATTTAAGCTTGTTATACATCAAGCCAATTAAGATAGGTTTCATTTAAGAAACTATTGAAAATCTGAGAATAATGAACAGTACTGGTCACAGACGATGTCGAAATCAGGATCGATAAAACAAGACAGACCTTCAGTGTTCTGAAGTTAGTGTGGACGTTTGCTGCAATCGTCATAAGAAGAAACACCGAGGGCTTCAGTATGGTTCAGGGACCTAGCGCTCAACTGAAAGTATCTGCAGAAGGTTGCAGACTTTTGTCAACAGCTGTCTTCACTAAATAATGATCATCAGATAGCCGTTCGGAAAGAATAAACAGTACGTAACTCTGGTTATGAGATAGCCATGAACCTATCCCCGAACAAAAATATGTAGAAGAAAGTGGAGGTAGGTTGGATATATGCTGATGAGAACATTGAATGACATTACGCACCAGACCCTAATGGGAAACGAAGAGTTGGGAGTTCGAAAGTAACAAAAAGGATACCGTGTGAGGAGAAAATGAAAGCTTGTGGGCAAACGTGGAGTCAGCCGAAAAAGGATTGAGCGAAAACAGTGAAGTAAAGATGTTCCACTGAAACCTTATGGTTCACTGGGAGCCCAACAGGGTAATGATCATAGTAATACTGGACAAATGGAATGATTTAACTGTCCAGTATACCGCGGTTTTCAACGCTTCTCTAACTGACGTCACTTGCTTATGAAATGTACTCTAAAATCAATTAAGTCCACACATGAAGATTAATACACTACTACATTGGCACGAGCTACAATAGAATCCAATGCAATGGGGACATATACTCACCTACAAAACTGTCGGTGTACCACGAATTGGTAAATGTTAGAATCCATGGACCATTGCATTCTGACACGGCGGTACTGGCCACATAGCCTGAACATCCTGGGATCCCTTATGATATCTCTGTGGTGAGACAAGCAAGTTTGCTTTCTGTGATGTTGAATTAATAGTCATGAAAAGTCCAATGCTTTTATATACTGACCCAACACTAGGGAGTAAATTACGTAACATCTCACGATTTACCACTGTTTCCAACTAGCTCAGTTGTTATAATTCCGAGTGCGGTCTCGAATATTTAGCATTGTATCAGTCCCTTTAGTGTTACGCTGGTACCTGACACTTACTAATAAGCGCGAAATCTATTTCTATGGACTTACCGTTGATTACCTGGAAGGGTAAGCACAGGCTGATAGCCCCTTATTTATTTATTTTTTCCTTTTTGATTTTAAAAATCTTATAAAATTTATGAGGTGATTAGATGCAATATATTGTAATGCACGCTGAAAATTCCATACCTGTACCACAAATACGGTTTGGAATAAAGTCTCCATATGCCTATTTTTTAGTTGGGCGATGTACTGAGGACTGGTTCGTCGACTGCTAAAGTTCCTTGTTGCTCGCTTCTCTTTCCTCACAGGCCAAACACCTGGTCTTCAGTATTGAGGCAGGTAATAGGCAGATTGTTGAACATAGTTCACTGAAACCTGTGGAAAATCTTTTTGGTGACTTACTCGCAAACATACAGATGTACTGACTGACTTGACAAGATTGCTGAAAACTCGGTTCTTGTTCCTTGTGGTGGCTGATTTAGATTTCCACATAGACTTCAGAGTGATGGATACCTGTCTTGCTTTTTTATTTCATCCTGACTGACTTTGATGTCTTCATTCGTGCTACCTAACAGTGAGATGATGGTGTTTATCCAGGTAGTTGAAAGAGATGACTTCATGTAGATTCATTCCATTAATGGCACTTAGTGCTTGTAGTTGTCGGTTGGGTATCTCCATCGCCTCCGTCTCCACTATGTTCACTTGCATCCCTTATCCTCTGTCTCTTCTGCAAAGTGTTTGGTTTTTGCTTGTATGTCTCCGAGTCTGTGAGACGAAAAAACTCAGATGAAATCTTGTAGAGTCATTTTGACAGTGCAACGTTTGCCCCTCCCCTCACTCTACAATGTCTGCTACATGCTTCGGTCCACCAAAATCGCATATAACATCGGTGATGGTAAGCAGTATTATTTTGCGCTCGCTTCAACGTCTAAGGATTCGGGGAGTTTTCGGTTTCAGTCAGGTTTGCATAGAGGAAGCAGTTCTTTTCCCTTGCACCTAAATTGTTGAACATATTCTTCTTTGAATTACTCAAGCAAGCAAGATAGATACATTGACGAGTACGAAACGTTGAAACTATATATATATATATATATATATATATATATATATATATATATATATATATATATAACCTACCTCTCCTGTCTGAACCACTTTCCATCAATGGTTCACCAACACCGAAACCATCATCACGCATTAGGCGACGATGTAGCATAATCTCTATTTGTCCATCGTGTAAACTTGTCCCGCCCTCAGCGCGATCAGTGTAAACAGCCAATCCAAAGGGTATTGTTGCATCACCATCATTCATTAAAATATTTTTCAACATAATTCTATTTATTACAGGATAGTAGTTGCCGGCAACGTTTTCAGTTTCAGTGAAATTCACTGGAAGATTCCAGTCAACTCTTTTGTTACGTAATCGTCTTATTAAACGTCTACCAGAGGAATCAGTGAAAAATTCTCCTAAAGTAAAGTGATAATAATAAAAGTTTTCTTCATCAAAAATGATATTTAAAATAAGGAAAAATATTTAATCGAATTGTTTCTACAACTGTTTCCTTGACTTATTTTTGAGGTACAATGGAGGAGATTTGCAGCCTAGATGGCTGGATGACATGATACTGGTGTAGTTGAGTTCTCTCTCTCTCTCTCTAAGGTTGAGTTATTTTTTACTGTTTTTATTGTTTTTACAGTTTTTATTGTCTTTCTAGACAATATCACTTCTATCCTAAGGTGAGCTTTTTCGAATTCCCATTGCTATCAAAAGATTTCAACCTTATCTCTGCACACACTCTCCTGTATGACCTAGCTGACAGAAGACCTGAGATGCAGAAAGTGTTGGGAGTGAAGTTAACAAAGTCCCATCCTACTCCCCCCATCCCCCCCCCCGTGTAAGAAAAACGCCATCGCTACTGTAACTTCAAGAAAAAGCTTGGAACTTTATGTTTCACTCAGCACTCTGGGAATTGAAAACAAATGGCAGCCAACCTAAATAATTGGATTGTCAAATTTACCATGCACAAAAATGAGTCTAATTCACTCTTTTTAAGGTTTTGATTGACCAATTATATCCTTGAATCTCAGTCTGTACTTATGCCTAATTTCAATTAGTTTCTAATCTACAATTCAAGTTCTTGTAACATACTTTCAATAAAACAGTAATGCCAATTATTTACTCACTTGAATAATCTTACTTATGAACGTATTTCTTAGAATAAGGCTGTTATTATTGTTGTTATTTACCTGAATTGTTAACTAATACATCGTTGATTGTATAGCGTATAACTAATTCACGACTGTTTATATATCCATCATCTGGTATTGGTCCAGCGGTCCATTCAACTTCCAATTCATCATTATTATAATGACGTACAACTAGGGATGCCCATGAAGCATACTGTAAATGATATTCTTTAACGCAATGTCCATCTATAATCTTTTAAGCAAAATATATGAAGGTATAAAAGGTAAAGAAAACGATCAGTAATCAATAGTTAATTGACAAAGGATAAAAGTAGTAACGCTTACTGGCCAGCTCAGTGAAATGATTTCAACACTAAATTATCATTTCTGTTATTAAGTATCTGAGCTTATTATTGGCGTACTCGTATTGACCCCCAGATCAGTTCTCCTACTTCTCTTAATTAGTGAATGCTCACAGTTGATTCAGTGTGCATATGGCACTAATGAACTCGCTCAAAAATAGAGAAAATAGGTGTCTAGTTTTTCGATTACTTTGAAGATCTGGCTAGCATCTCAGGGATCGAATACCTACAACGTGCATGACTGGGCAACATTCTATACCTGAAACATTAATCGTTATGAAAGTTTTATCCACTAGAGCATTGGCTCGTGATATACACCTCTTTTGCTATGGGTATGACTTGATTTTGTTTGACCTGTTCCTGTCGGTGTGACACAAATTGGAGGAGACGAGCTCATCCTGTCTTCTACTGTTATTAATCTTGATAAAGGCGAGGCATCTATCTGTTCATGTAGTTTATTTGCCAAAAATAAGCTTTCACTATTTCAACAGAAATTCATAAACACAAACAGGTAATTTCAAATTTTAAATTTTGAGCGATGGTCCATTAGAGAATTTTTACGCGAACATGAAGACGTAGTAAGAGAGGTTACTTTCAGACTGAAAATAGTATATGCACAGGAAACCTTGTTGCTAAACAAAAACAATTATTGCTAAAATTACTGTTTTAACCCACTTCAAAGAACACAGACGTTTGACGTGTGTTATTCACAAATATTCATATCAGTCTGTAGTGTAAACCTTGCTTTCACAATCATCAATAATGTCACCAAGCAGACCACATAGAGGGAGAGACAGCAATGAATATTAAGACAGGAAAATCTAAGTGGAAATAAAACTGTTCACCAATATATCCTATTTTTTAATTATTCCTTCCCAATGGTTAGATGATAGACGGATTTTCTTGTAAACCCTAGGATCATCGGTTCAATCCCTGAAGGTCCAGAGGGTGCATACTACTGTACAGCCCCCAGAAAAAAAGGAGAATAAAACACCAGTATAATATTCCCTGCTGGTTTTTAGTGATCCTCTGACTGATTTCAAATTCCCATAAGCCAACATGTGTTTAGTATTATTATTATTATTTTTATGATTACTTACATTTACTGTGGGTATATGAAACGCCTGTATATAAGTACCGTATTTCGGTAAAAATATATATGCTCCAGAAGGCTGAGGATGCGAATTTTCACCAAAATAATACATTAATTCAACAGATAAATTCATTGTTTTACCAGTTCGTAAATGTTTCATTGTTATCCTTAATGGATTGTCGTATTGTTGCCTATCTGTGTCGTTTATAACATGTACACTAAATTGTATTCCTTTAGATATTGATGATTGTGATGTTTCATCAGAATTTGTAGACTGCTGATTGCTTTCCAGTGCTAAGTTTCTGTAGGCACTATTACTATTAGTACTACTACTGTCATATTCTTGATTATAAGTAGATGTATTGACAGCTAAATATAATAAATTAAATCCCATTGGTGATAAAGATTTCACATTGAATATTATTTCATAATTTGTTGAATGTTTTTCACTATTTCTTTCAGGTATACTTAATGTTCGTCCAGTAATTGGTATTAATTGATATTTCAGGTTTTCATCAATGCTCATTAATGATTCAGATGAATGTGGTGATATCAGCCGTAAATCTTTCAATATTATCTGAACATTATTTATATGTTCTTCCGGAATATATAGTGGTAAACGCAACCATGTAGAGGGCTTTATCCATGCTAAAGGATTATATAAAATTATGAATACACCTCCATCATTCGACTGCCTTAAATACGGTCTATAACCTTCTAATGGTTCACATAAACTAATATTTAGTAGATTACAAAAGATAACAGTATCATTTTGAATAAATGATTTCAATGTCGGCAAGAGCTTAGTTAATGACTGACTAATTAAGAGTTGACAAAATTTTGTAGCCTTTGAAACTCTCCACGCATAATCATCAGCAACATGTTGTTTTTCTGTACCGGCGACAGCATCGTGATGTTGTAAAACGCCGAGTGTTTTTCGTAATGCATCAATTAATTCATCTGTTGTGATTTGTTTTTGATAATCACCACTATCGGATAGTCGATTCACGTGTAAATGCACCTAAATTACGAGAAAAGACAGAGAAGTCGTGTTTGACGTGTTTGCACAAAATAATAGGCACAGATAATAAAAATAAATTTGAATCAGTAACTCCATATTCCATATCTTCATGGGCTTTCTCGAACAGACGTGACCGAATTACACCATCAATGGAACAACATACTACCGTCGATACGTCGATGATACTTTTGTTGTTTGTAACGACATGAGTCATGAATCCGTAATATTTGACCGCCTAAATGAGGTCGACCCGAACATTAAATTCACCATGGAATAAGAACACAGCGATGAGTTCAATTTCCTGGACCTGAATGTAAAAAGAAGAAACGATGGAACGGTCGAAAAGTCCATCTACAGAAACGAAACGTGGACCGGACAATACCTTCACTACAACAGTTTCTGCCCTATGAGCTATAACTGGGGATTAGTAAGGACACAGTAGGACAGGGCAATGAAGTTATGTTCACCTAACAAGGTAGAAGAATTAAGCTTAGTTGAGAAATGTCTTAAGGAAAAAGGGTATCCAAACGGATTTATCCTAAAGTACAGCAAAGAAAGAGATGAGAAAGAGAAGCATTCAACAGTTGAAAAGAAGAAAGTTTTCATTTGCCTCCCATACAAAGGAGAAACGGTATCGCGAAAGATTGAAAAGAGGATGAAGGGAGCAATAAAGAGATGCTTCCCTGCAGCCAATCTGGTGACACTAGGCAGCACTACATGCTCTATAAGGCAATTGAAACTGGATAAGTACCCTGTTGATGTTACCTCCAACTGCATTTTTAAGTTTACGTGTACCTGCGGAAGCAAGTATATTGGAAGGACAGAAAAAAAGCTTCTATTCGGTTTTCAGAGCATATTCCGAGAAACTTATGCTTAAAAGGAAGCAGATATATACAAAGTGCAATTACCAGACACCTTGTGGATACGGGTCATTTTGTCGAGATTTCCAAATCCTCCGAAATGTTAAACATACAAATGATAGTGAATCTACTACGATTTGCTGAAGCAATTGCAATCAAAGGTCTCAGACCAAAATTATGCACACAGAAAGAGAGTGTAGTCAATCTCTCACTACCTTAGTAACCACATCACTTTCATACACACTAGTGGGCTCAACTCACTGAGCAAGTTTTCAAACTGATGAACTTTGACCTTCTTGAGTTGCCATGTTGACACTGTTTATTAGATTTTTCTGTTTTCCGTCTTCTTTCACCCCGTCCCTCTTTTTTCATAGTTTGATAGTATATAAACTGATGGTAACTTGAACTATAAATTGTAATACTTATATTCCAGATGCGTTCACCTTATAATGTTTTCTCTATTACCTTTCAAACAATGAAGTATGAAATGCTATTATACATAACCATTGTAATTTCAGGTAGTGGTTTGCAGTTAGCTGATGAGAACCTGTGAATAGAATGATGATATCATTTTATACTGCAAATCTGGTCTTTCTTTCTTTATCGAAATTTATCAAGCGAACCAAATGTATGAAATTCCATATTAGTTTGTTTATTAGATGTATCACACAGTGAAACAGTATTATTTACTGGATGACATTTCGAACAAAATTTATTGCTCATAATCATATCATTTATGATTGATAATTGATATGATTATGAAAAATATTAAATTGTGTTCGAAACATTGTCATCCAGTAAATACTAATACTGTTTCACTCACTGTGTGATATATTTAATAAACAAACTAATATGGAATTACTTACTAGCACAGTGCCCAAGTTTTACACATATTGAATCACTAATCTATAGATAGGAAGTTGGAAAATGAATGAAAATTTTAGTCGCGGTAGCATTAATACCGCATTCATTAGTCTGAATTCAGTGTGAATATCTACGGCGCTCAGATCAAGAAACAACATCCTAATTCAGACCATTAATGTACAGGTTATGGCTTCAGTATGCTTTGAAGACTTGTTGCATGCATCACTGAAACCATTTCAAAGGGGTTAATGAAGAATTCCGTCAAAAACGACCTCCTTCACTACTGCAATTCTGAAAGCCAGATAGACGGTCGGAGACGATAATCAACACTGAACACTGTCTGGCAACCAACCTATAAAAAACAATATTCTGAAAGGAAATGGAGATAGATGGATTGAACATCACACACTAAGCAGGCCATTGAACTTTACTTGGAAAAAAAGTGACCAGATGGCGGTCTGTAGATAATGTTTACAAGGTCAGGTGAAGGGGAATTAGAGGTTTGCTCGCAGTTGTCGAACCAGTCGTAAAAGATACCAGAAAACTGAATCAAATAATAATAATAATAATAATCCGCTACTCTGTGGCAATAACTGAACTACGTTTATGAAATTGGTGATGGATTATCAGTCTACAACAATTCATCGTAATGGATATAACTAAGGCACGACAAAAAAGAAAGTAAAATGAAGCTAACTATTATAAATAAACTGAAAAATTGATGCTACACAGAATAGTTGAAATTTTTACTGTTTCCTTACCTGTTCACACATTGACAGTAAATTTGAAGCTTGACGTACATAATACTTTAATGCTGGCCTACTTGTATAATAACCGGTCCAGTATGAGTGTGGACCACTTGCATATGGGAAGAAATCTCCACCACGTCGATTAATTTCACCTATTTGATTGAATTCTTCATTCACTGCTTTTGTATAACAAGCTGGTGTTGAATACAATAGATTTACTCGACTTCCACTTGATTTTTGACGTTGATTTGTGTATGCAATTAATTTATCCATATTTTTATAATTGATATTAGCATTTTCATAGGTAAAATCACAACCCATCAAAACCATTACATGATTTGTTTTAAAAGCTTTCGATATTGTATTGACATAATTTAAAAATTCATCCACTCGTGACTTGACATTATAACCTTCAAGTGTTGGATCATCTTTGATCGGTTCATCAAGACACTTATCATCAAAACAGAATGATTTTGGATAACAATATGAATCATGAAACATACTTGTGAATAGGCCATAACCTGTTTCATTCATTTCTACACCTGTATCCCACAGAACTTCTAATTCTTTAAATCGTTTACGTGCCGACTTCTCACGATAGTCCATACGTTGAAAGTAGACGCCGTCGAAACCAGCCTCTTGGAGTAAATCAGAATGATCACGTGAATGACCGAATGGATCAATTTGCCAAGCAACTAATGGGAGACCACATTTGCCGAATAACTGTTTTAGTGCATCTCGACCAAGTGTCAACTGGTCAATAGCATCCCCGTAATAGACTGTTGCTTCATCAGCCATACTCCAACCGCCTAGAGCAAACTGCAATCGACCCGATTGGACTAGATCTTTAACTATTTGACGTTTTGTCAAAGTCTGTGCAGTCCACCATCTAATGAAAAATGCCATTTCAACATATGTAAATTTTCTATTTGGATCGTCGATAAGAGCTTGTATAACACTGTCTAAGATGTACTGGACACCTGCACGTTGAATTGTATTGTTTGCACCATAATAATATTGATCTACTGTTTTCAGCCAGCCGACATCATCATGTGTATGCGGTACTAAATGAACATTCAGATATCCTGGTTTCCCTAGATTGCACGATTGGTAGCCACATTTAGGTCTATGAAAATATCTGAAGATATTTTTAAAAGTATATGCATCAGTATTAATTGAGAAGTATTCGACCAGGAATATGAATGATAGGAATAGAATTCCATTGAATTTAAACAAACGTCTATTATATGAGTATAACATATTAAAAGTGTGAATTAAAATCATCACATCAACTGATATGGCATACGTTAGTGAATTGATCGGTCTGTTTGTGGCATAAATGTGTGTATGAATGTGTATTCATGTATATTGTAAGAGTGTATGCTTGTGTACTGTATTGATACAATTAATGTTATTTGTTAATGCTGGCACTTATGACAGGCGTAAGTGTCCTTATATTTATGAACATGTATATAGTGAAATGTGAATGGATGAAACCAAAGAAACAAAGGTTGAAAACGTTAAATTTTCATTTATATTGACACTGTTATGCATCATAACACTATTCCATCATGGGTAAAACTTATTTTGATTAAGTCTCACAGTGTTATACAATAATATTCACTTATGACTTTTCGAAAAAAGTTTATTGCTCATAATCATATCAGGATACTCACATAACTTTCTAACTTCGTTTATATAATTCCATTATTTTCTATCGCTTGATTTGATTGATAGTAGTATTTTCCATTTTTCCGGCATGAGTGATAAGTCATTTCTATTGCACGTGTTGGGTGTAGACTCGATGAACAAAGATTCAGTAATCAACCTGTCTCTATCTTCACCCACCTTTATCACTTTTTAGAATTTTAACACTCTCACACCACCCTATTGTGTGGTTTTGTATTATTGCGTCCAGTGCGATGGCTGAGCATTTATCTAAATTACTTATCTTCTCGGGGTCAACCATTCTTACCTTAGCTAAATTCTTATGCCCTGACAATCTGACTACCCCTGACCTACTAGTTTGACCTATGTAGTCGACCTCACTCACAGTCATTGCAGGGTATTTTGTAAATCATATTATTTTGTCTAATTGGGTCAACTGGGTCCTTTAACCTACAGAGCTTGTCCCTTAGTGAGTTTGTAAGTTTAAATACCACTCTCAATCCTGCTTTATTTAGAATCCTACGTAGGATTTCGGATGTTCCCTTCTTATATGGTAGAACTGTAGATGCCTTATATTCTTTCTTGTTTGCGTTATCCTTATAAGTTTCAGCATTATTTTTATTTGGCTTTTGACTTTTTCTAATCTTCTGAATGAATTTTATAGGATATTTGGTTATTCAACACCAACGTTTCTTTCATCTGTTTTATTTCATAATTTAGGTCTTTTCTTGTGCTACTTAGTGCTATGGCTCGGTTTGTTAGCCACTTAACTAAGCCTGCCTTAACAATTAACGGATGAGATGAATTAAAGTCTAAATATCTATTAGCAGAATGCGTTGTGCAGTTTACCTTGTTCTATTCGTTTTACTTTACAATCTAACATAGCTAATTCTCCTAGTTCATTTTCTGATTCAAATGTGAATTTTATTCCCTCTACTAATGAGTTTGTGTCAAGAAACCAGAGATATGTTCTGTTTTTAACACTGTGAAAGTGTCATCCACATATCACCACCATATTTTTGGAGTAGGACTAAGCGTATTAAGAGCCATATTTTCCCAGCTGTCCTCACATCTACTATCTTTAAATTCCAAGGCAAAATATATAGACAAAGAGAAAGCGTAGCAATAAGACCACAAACATCTCCTACCGTAACAGATATAGATAGCTGCGAAAATATTGCACTCAATACATTTAATCCTATTCCAAAAATATGGTGGAAATATGTGGATGACAGTTTTTTGAGTGGTCCGTCTGAATGAGTCTGTTAGAAGAAAGAAGAACGGCGTCATCTGTTATTGTCTTTTCGTAGTCTCCACTTACTCCCCAACAGACTGCAGTTCGGATGAACTAAAAGATGACTTCTACCTGAAACTGTCTAATTTGCTGCAAAAAGCAAAACGCTTAGATATAGTTGTTTTAGCAGGTGACTTCAATGCCCAAGTAGGGAAGTTGTGCCAGACTGAGAAGTACGTAGGTGGTGCGTACGCAGTTCCCTACCGACGAACCGACAATGCTGATTGTCTTCTACAGTTCTGCTCAGATAATCACCTGTTTTTAGACAGCACTAACTTTAGGCAGAAAGAGACACTGCGTAACCAGGCGACTTCCATCACCAAATCAACGCTAGAATCAAATAGACCACATAGCCATAGGGTAGTTAGTTGAGGGTCAGTAGAAGACTACTGCTCCTTCTGGAACACATGCGTAGACTCCGATCACGCTCTGGTTCGCGAACGTTCATGCTTACGACCAAACGGAAATCAGAAATTGCTGGCAGCCATAGTTACGCCCCCAACTAGATTATTATTTTATTTATTTTTTTTTTATTTTTGATTACAGCTTGATTCCACACTTTATTTAGATCGAGACACTGAGTCCCTATTTAACGAAGAAATAGCGAAACGTGTATCTAAGGTCGAAAGCACGACTTCCCCTGATTTAGCCTGGCACAACATACAGTTAGCTGTAGACACAGCTATAAAATCTGCTAACAACATAAAACCGAAAGTTAGTAAGAGCCATTGGATTTCCACCACCGCATCCTAACTGATTGAATCAAGAAGACTCATTCCAGCGAGCTCCGATCATGATGAGGAGCGAAAGCAACTCAAACGAAAACTAACAAGAAGGCATCCCAACGACCGTGAACAGTGATGGGCGACAAAAGCGAAAGAGATGGAAAAAGCATAGGCAACACTAGGCAGCTCTTTCGACTCATCAGGGAAACGGGTGGGAAAAGGCAAATGATAAGTGAAACAATCTCGGAGAAAAATGGCACTATAATTAGCTCCCAGGATAGACGACTGGATCGTTGGAAAGAGCATTATGAGGAGCAGTTTAATTGGCCCACAGCCACACTCAACCTTCCGAGCATCCAACACCTCTCCGAATGGGATATAGACACATTCCTTAACTGATGTTACTAAAGCTGTCACCAATCTGAAACAAGGCGAAGCAGCGGGACCTGACGAAATGACTCCAGAGGTATTTAAGTACTGTGGAGACAGCTTACTGTCTGCATTGACTCAGGTTCTAGGCAGCGTCTGGGAATCAGAGGAAGTCCCACTGGGTTGGTGTAAGTCACTGATCATCCCGATAGACAGGAAGGGAGACAAGTCTTCCTATGATAATCAGAGGGGGATTAGCTTGACTAATATGGTGGTATCTAAAGTACTAGGATCAATAATATTGCGTAGACTAAGTGGTCCTTGGGAGGCACAAACACGAGAGAGCCAGGCAGGCTTTAGACCAGGAAGAGGGTGTATTGATCACATCTTCACCCTCCGACAGATTCTGGAACGGAACATAGGCATATTTACCGACGTCCAACAATCGTCATATGTCTTGACCTCAAACCGTCGTTTGACTACATTGTCCAAGAGGCGATGTTTGGCTGTGAAAAAAATTACGAGAAAATGAATTGCACTGATCGAGGCACTCACTCTACTCGAACACACGCAGCCAATACGTCACAATATCGCAGCTAACTCATCATTTATAGCTATTCACAAAGTGAACAAAAATCTTCTAAAGACAATGTTTCTTCAGACTAAATTGGAAAACCAGAATTGCGTTTTGAAAAGAACCTAGTTCGATGACTGCATGACGCTGAACTTCTTATTCTCTCTCTAATTTCCTGGTGGGTATTTCCTATGAGTTGACAAGAACTTACTAACTGGCTGTAGATGTGTTGTTGTAAGTGCACAAAAGAAGAGAATCTGGAATCAAGAAGAGGCAATGTGTTAAATGGGAAATAAAGAGTGTATTTGCAAAGTGTAATTTATTTCATCTACAATAATTTTCAAAATGTCTTCCCTCTTCTCTATGTACACAACAACATCAAAAAAAAGAAAGTTCACATGAGAAAGAAGTATATCCACATTCCCAGACCAATTGTACCTAATGAAAACCTGAAAGAAAAGAAATATAATATATGCGTTATGCAATATATATATATATATATATATAACTTCTTGGTGTAAAACGTTAACTATTTGGCTCATACTTATATCTGATTAAAAATAAACATTGAAAAGTAAATGTGCACCAAATAAGGCTAAAATATGAAGGAAAATTGAATCCGGTTGCAATGATTTCCTTGAGATAATCGAATGATAAGCAATGTGAACAGGGTCAAAAAGAAAAGAGCAATAACAACAACAACAACGACCCATGAATATTACCAAGTGAAGATATATGAGGCATGTTCATTGCGTAGTGTAACTCGAGTTTGTCCACCAACAGGTCCACCAACGAAGGTTGATTCTAAATAATTAGAGAAGATAATTTGAAAAAAAAATATCTTTCAGAGATTTGATTCATTTCAAGTTAAATCATAAAATGATATTTTAGTAAAAACAAATCAGGGATAACTACTTCGTCCTAGTTCAACAGCAGACTTATAATCTCAAGGAGTACAGAATTCAAGACTTTCCAGCCACCGGGTTTCAATCCAATGATCGGTGTTTCCTAAATTGTGTCAGTATGCTATATAATGGTGCCACCACAGCCGGGTGTCGTTGATAAGTGTCCGCTTCAAACCGCCCGACTGGTCCACCGCTTCTCATTAAAACTGCAAGATATCCAGCCAGTAGCCATTTTAATGAGCAAGAGATTGATGTTCACATTTTTGGATAGCAGGTAAGCGCATCAACTACTAAGGAGGCTCAAACTAGGACGAAACAGTTGTCCAGTGTTCTCTGGTTTTCAATAATTCTCCAACTGAAATCTACATGGGAATTATTTCCAAAACTATACAAACGCTATCTCAGTGATGCGAGTAGTGATAAGCTTTCAACAACAAAAGTCTGATTACGTCTAGCCAAATACCATCAGTTTTTTTTTATCTGTTCACCGAACTACATAGAATGTCTGACAGTCCATAGGTGACATAGAATCAAACTTAGCAGTATTAATGGTGATAAAATATTAGCCAAATAACTTCGTCTTAAAATGACAGATAGAAAATGTTCAGCACACAAATTCTCTAGTATAAACAATTTTGTCAAGAATTTTCCGCCACATATATTATACGTTTGCTCTCATCACTAACAACAGTGTGCATTTAGACATGGTGAAAAGCGTTTTTCAATAAATGTTGTTAACTTGTGACACCGACTCTAATGGCTTGCGTATATCCCACAAATGTCATCCCAGTAGCACCCGTAGTGTTCACTAATAACTAGGCCTGCTATACAATGCAGAAAGCGTGGGAGTGGTCAGTCTTTGACGTAACGCCATGAAATTAAGGGTAACTGTGTCAGGTTAGCATCTGTTGGTGTATCACGATTTTCTGGGTGTCTTGAAATTCGTGGCTGAAGGACCATAATCAATAACGTAAATACTGTGCAGTTTCCTCCTTTTTTCTACAAGTAACATGATTAGTATGCTTGCTTGTTTTAAAGATCCCGCCTGTTTCTCATGTATCATGTTTCATTGGGTTTTTTTTTATGTGGCGCATCTCTTGGGGTCCGCATTGAACCAGGTTAGTTTTTAAGTAAGTAACATAGAATAATAATGTGCATTTGAGTTAGTGAAACAGAAAGACACACAAAGGCTCAAGCTATAGACTTAACAGATGTACTAATTCTCGAAAATAAAGTCTGAAAAATCTTATAAAATCAACCAATATTTAAGGGGATATTAAATCCTTTACTAGTTGTTGTTAAACACTTTGAGATTAGTATGAGCAGAAGTAATTATTTATTGAACCTACCGTAGTCAGCATCAATAAAAATCGGTAATGTTTTCAAATCTTCACACATCTTTTCAATATATCGGCAAGGATAACGAATGTGAGGATTTTGATTCTTTTGATCTAGACACATGAGATAACTAGTGTCTGCACCAAATATTCGAAGTGGTGGCTGGAAATGAAACACAAGCAGTTGGATTTCACACTTACTAGCATTATCAACACACTGATTACGTTAACCAGCACAAATTGTTTAATTAACTGATACATAGAGAAGAACAATATAAAGAATATTGATATACCCAAAAATATCAATTGTTACAGATGATGAGAAAAAGGTTTGTTGTCATTACTTACTTATTCATTCATCTACTACTTGCATTCCGAGTGAAAAGCAGGGCTTCATAGACACATTGCTACTGTACTGGCTTCTCAGACATCAACTCAACCGATTCCACAATTGTCCGTGAGCTTTTATTTTCACCTTATATGACTTCCACCTCTCGAATCACCCTCTGACATTCAGCTTGTCGTTCCACTCGGGCTCCACTCTAAAACCTGTCGCGTAATGCCGCTGGAATGTCTCCTTTCAGTGTATGTGCACTCCATTTCCATCTGAACATTTGTTGAACAATAGGTTGTTGCCTAATTCATTACGCGGTCATAGTTTTTTATTGCTTATCCTTTCTGTCCGGCAACCTGATTTTCAGTATCCAGACAGCTGAGGAGGCCACTGCGGACGGATATCTGCAGTAGTCAATTGGAAATCCTATGGGTGATGTGCGCTTCAAGTCTGAGTCAAATAGAAGCAGCCGCTGACTTGACATTAGTGTTGAAAATTCTGATCTTGCTCCCAGTGTAAGGTATTATAGAGATATTCACACTGATTACTGAGTTTCGACTAGTGAACACTTGTCTTGCTTTCCTGATCCTGGCTGGCTATGACATCCATATCTGTCCCGTCTGTTCAGGTAAGTGAAGTAGACAACTTCTTTAGGATTTCTCCCATTGATGTTGATTGGTATTTGTTGTTGCAATTATCACCCATCAGACATCTTTATTACTGCTAACTCCTATGTACGTTTACTTGAAGTTTTGTCTTCAAACAAGCGCTTATTGATTATGATTAATTAGCAGAAAAGTCAGAAAAGCCTTGTTTAATTTTTACTAACAGAATCAGAAAACACAGTATCCTTAATGATTCAAGGGTTCTTTGTACTCTAAACATGCGTATTACTGAGATACACTTAATAAATAGGTGTTCACATTATAACCATCATATGGTGAAAAAAAAACTAATTGAAACTCAAATGTGAAGAAAAGCCACGTGAAATTATACAACTAACAATAAGTGGGGTTTCATACTCATCAAACATGTGAATATTCAATTGTTTTTGTTAAAAGAAAAAACAGTTTTGTATAGAAAGCAAATAATACCTTTTCTGGATATCGAACATAACCTGACAATTTTACGGTACCTTCTACCTGAAATACAAAGGAAAAATATCAATTAAGTATTAATATATGTGTAAAACATGGGCACTGTGGTAATAAGTAATTACATATTAGCTTGTTTATTAGATGTATCATACAGTATTATTTACTGGATTACGTTTCGAACATAATTTATTGCGGTTCATAATCATATCAATTATGATTGATAATTGATATGGTTATGAACAATATTAAATTGTGTTCGAAACATTGTCATCCAGTAAATAATACTGTTTCATTGACTGTGTGATATATCTAATAAACAAACTAATATGGAATCAATTAAATATTGTAACTACTTCGCTACTACTGGGCGCCATCGACAATTATATATCTCATCCAACAGTTGTACGACAATGCTGCATACCAAGTAGTCCACAATGGGAAACTTACGGAAGCTTTCGAAGTGAGGACGGGAGTAAGACCAGCTGGTTGCCTACTATCGCCAATGATTTTCCTGATTGCAGTAGATTGGATAATACGACAGACACCCAGCAGGGAGGAAACAGGCATAAAATGGACTCATACAAAAAACTTGGAGGATCTGGACTTCGCCGATGTTATATGTCTGATTTCCCACAAACTGGAAGATATGCAAGTGAAAAGCAACAAGCTGGCAGAACAAGCATCCACAGAAGATAGGACTTCAAGTGAACATAAATAAAACAGAGGTGATGAAGATTCCTATGCAACACCAACAGCAACGACAACAGACAACAATCAGCATAAATAATAATAATAATAATCACTTTATTCCACAACAATAACAATTTACAGCATGGCATTTTCAGCGTAAATGGAAGGAACCTGAAAGAAACAACCTCCTTTACCTACCTACCTGCCTCGGAAGCATCGTTTCAACTACAGGCGGGGGGAACTAACGAGGATATCAAACCCAGAATCGGAAAAGCAAGACAAGCTTTCATTACCCACATCAAGTCTGTGTGGAGGTCAACAGCACTCAGAATCAAAAATAAGATCCAGATTTTCAACTTCAATGTGAAGTCGGTCAGTGCTACTATACGGATCAGACACTTGCACTGAGCGTCATAAAGAGCATCTCAAACAACCTACAGACCTTCATTAACAGTTGTCTTCAGTCAATACTACTCAAGATCAGATGGCCAGAAAAGATCAGAAACAGGGAGGGATCTCTGGCAATGAGCGAACCAACACCGCAGGAACCGATTGTGAAACAAATAGGCAGGAAGAAATGGAGATGGATTGGCTGGCCATACTCTGAGGAAACCATCAAGTGACATCACTGGACAAATCATAGTTCGAGTGAAACGCGGAAGGGAAGCAGCGAGTTGGTCGTCCAGTGATGACTTGGAGGAGGTGATGTGAAGAGGAGATGAAAGCATGTGGGCATACTTGGAGCGGGGTGAAAAAGTTGGCAGAAAACCGAAGGCAATGGAGACGCGCAGCTGAACCCCTATGTTGCTCTAGGAATTAAAGGACATAATAATAATAATAATAATAATAATAATAATATCTGAAAATTCATGTCCAATATGTACTGTAGACGATGTTATGGAGTTCGTGAAAATAAGCCCTACATGGGAAGACCGATATGGTTAACATTAAACATTTCAAATGTAAACTATCATTCCGTGGAGTCTCCGGCCCTTTCTTGCATATATCTTGTAAACGTACTTCCATTGATGTATTATCCATAATTGTATTTTATGCCATCTAGCAGTTTCCCAGGACATTTACCTCTAACTGAAATAGATTTTAATCTAGTGGCGACATAGCACTCCCCAGATATACGCTGTTCACTGGTTCACCATAACTAGCAGCAGAGAATGCAACGAGGTTTGGGTCGGCTGTCTGTTTTCGACATAGAACTTTGCACATATGTGTGACAGTTCAAGTCGCCACACTCCATGTTGCACACAAAAAAAGAGAAGAAAGTGAAGAAATGCATAATAGAGACAGTAAACAGAGGTGTGAGACAGAGGAATAGTGGTAACGAAGAACAAAACAGTTTCATTGGAAATCATAAGGAGTGGATGCATCTGCTTCAGCCAGCCATTGAGAACGATTTTGAGCCATGTCACCAATAGTTTCCGACCATTGGTTTTTACCGTCCCGAGGACCCAACCAGGAAGTCTACACCTTCCTACGCGGCTTAGACTAGCTGTTGTAGATTTCATTGAATGGTGCCATGTTTTGGTTTGACCGCCGCCAGCTCTTTTTCAGCCTGACCCTATATCAGCTAACATTGTCCATCGAGGGAGGCGATGACTAGGCATACGTAACACATGTCCTAACCATCTCAGTCTCTGTAATTTCACAGCCTCATCGATTGATTTCCCCTCCTTATCTAGCACTCGAAGGAGGCCTAACCTCATTATTGCTCACCTTATTATGCCACTTCACACGGGAGATAGCACGCAGACACCTATGATCAAAGACAGCTAGCTAGGCTTTTTATGTCTTCCACTCTCAATGACCACGTCTCACAGCCCGCCATAGAGGAGGACGGAGCCGACTGATGAGAAGTACACCCGCATTTTGGTCGATAGTCGGATATCACGTCTACGCCAGAGACGGTGTAAACTGAAATATGTGAAACGATTCCCCTGTATCCGTTGATATAAGAATAAAACTTGTGCACTGTGGTAGAGTATCATTCCATTATGGGTAAATTCTTGTTTGATAAAGTCTCACAGTATTATACAGTAATGTTTACTGATGACGTTTCGAGCACAATTTATTGCTCATAATCATATCATATCCTCTGTATCCGTGATGAGATTTCGTCAGAGATCAACCCGTTGGCACTGGATGATGGTACTTCCCAAATAAGTGAAGCGGTCAACGTGCTCTACCACTTCACTTCCTATTTTTAAACTAGGCGTCGATGTAGTCCAGTCCTGTAACATCATCTTGCATTTGGCGGGAGCGAATCGCATGCCAAACATTCGTAGATTGCGGCTCAAGGTGTTTAGAAGACTCTGCATTTCGTCAGCGTCTTCGCCTAGAAGGACTATATCGTCTGCATATTCTAAGTCAACGAGATTATTCCCTGGTGGTAGCAAGTCAATCCCTGAGTCTCTGAAGTGAGTTAGGGTTAAGTCCATCAGTACATATATGATAAAGTTGAATAGAAATAAGGATAATGGGCACCCTTGACGGACACCACTAGTCATCACCACTTCAGATGACAAGTCGCCGTAAGCCCTCACCTGGCTGCATGAGTTCGAGTAGAGTGAGTGACTTGATCAGTGCGATGTATTTTCTCGGTATTCCCTTTACAGCCAAGCATCTCCAGAGAACCTCTAGGTCGACAGAATCGAATGACGGCTTTAGGTCAAGGAATATAATGATTGTTGAACACCGGTAGGAATGCCTATGTTTCGTTCCAGAATCTGTCGGAGGGTGAAGATGTGATCAATACACCCTCTTCCTGGTCTAAAGCCTGCCTGGCTCTCTCGTGTTTGTGCCTCCCAAGGACCACTTAGTCTACGCAATATTATTGATCCTAGTACTTTAGATACCACCATATTAGTCAAGCTAATCCCCCTCTGATTATCATAGGAAGACTTGTCTCCCTTCCTGTCTATCGGATGATCAGTGACTTACACCAACCCAGTGGGACTTTCTCTGATTCCCAGACGCTGCCTAGAACCTAAGTCAATGCAGACAGTAAGCTGTCTCCACAGTACTTAAATCTCGGAAAAAAATGGCACTATAATTAGCTCCCAGGATAGACGACTGGATCGTTGGAAAGAGCATTATGAGGAGCAGTTTAATTTGCCCACAGCCACACTCAACCTTCCGAGCATCCAACACCTCCCTGAATGGGATATAAACACAGGTCCTCCGTCACTAACTGAGGTTACTAAAGCTGTCACCAATCTGAAACTAGGCAAAGCAGCGGGACCTGATGGAATGACTCCAGAGGTATTTAAGTACGGTGGAGACAGCTTACTGTCCGGATTAACTGAGGTACTAGGCAGCGTCTGGGAATCAGAAGAAGTCCCATCGGGTTGGTGTAAGTCACTGATTATCCCCATATACAAGAAGGGAGACAAGTCTTCCTGTGATAATCACAGAGGGATTAGCTTGACTAATATAGTATCTAAAGTACTAGGCTCAATAATATTGCGTAGACTGAGTGGTGCTCGGGAAGCACAAACACGAGAGAGCCAGGCAGGCTTTAGACCAGGAAGAGGGTGTATTGATCATATCTTCACCCTCGGACAGATTCCAGAACATAGGCATTCCTACCGGCGTCCAACAGTCATTATATTTCTTGACCTAAAGGCAGCATTCGACTCTGTCGATCGGGAAGTTCTCTGGAGATGCTTGGCTGTAAAGGGAATTCCAAGAAAATATATTGCACTGATTAAGGCACTTTACTCGTACTCATACAGCCAGGTGAGGGCTTACGGCGAGCTGTCATCTGAACTGATGACGACCAGTGGTGTCCGTCAAGGATGCCCATTATCCTTATTTCTATTCAACTTCATCATATATGTACTGATGGACTTAACCCTAACTCACTTCAGAGACTCAGGGATTGACTTGCTACCACCAGGGAATAATCTCGTTGACTTGGAATATGCAGACGATATAGTCCTTCTAGGCGAAGACGCTGACGAAATGCAGAGTCTTCTAAACACCTTGAGCCGCAATCTACGAATGTTTGGCATGCGATTCGCTCCCGCCAAATGCAAGATGATGTTACAGGACTGGACTACATCGACGCCTAGTTTAAAAATAGGAAGTGAAGTGGTAGAGCACGTTGACCGCTTCACTTATTTGGGAAGTACCATCATCCAGTGCCAACGGGTTGATCTCTGACGAAATCTCAGCACGAATACAAGGGGCTCGTTTCGCATTTGTTAGTTTACGCCGACTCTGGCGTAGACGAGATGTTCGACTATCGACCAAAGGGCGGGTGTACTTCTCATCAGTCCGCTCCGTCCTCCTTTATGGTTGTGAGACCTGGCCACTGAGAGTGGAAGACATGAAAAGACTAGCTGTCTTTGATCATAGGTGCCTGCGTTCTATTTCCCGTGTAAAGTGGCATAATAAGGTGAGCAACATGGAGGTTAGGCGTAGAGTTCTAGGTAAACAGGGGAAATCAATCGACGAAGTCGTGAAGCTACAAAGACTGAGATGGTTAGGACATGTGTTACGTATGCCAAGGCATCGCCTCCCTCGACGAGCTATGTTAGCGGATATAGGGTCAGGCTGGAAAAAAGCTAGCGGCGGCCAAACAAAAACTTGGCATCAGTCAATGAAATCCACAACAGTTGGTCTAAGCCACGTAGGAAGGTGTAGACTTCCAGGCTGGGGTCCTCGGGACGGTAAAAATCTATGGTTGGAAACAATTGGTGACATGGCTCAAAATCGTTCTCAGTGGCGCAGATGCATCCACTCCTTGTGACTTATGATCTTCAATGAAACTGTTTTGTATTTCTTTATTACTCCTTTGTCTCATACCTCTGCTCACTGTTTCTATTATGCTTTTCTTGTACTTTCTTCTCTTGCTTCGCGTGCTACACGGAATGTGGCGACTTGAACTTCCGCACATTTGTGCAAAGTTCTATGTCGAAAACAGACAGACAGACGGTACTTAAATACCTCTGGAGTCATTTCGTCAGGTCCCGCTGCTTCGCCTTGTTTCAGATTAGTGACAGCTTTAGTAACATCAGTTAAGGAATGTGTCTATATCCCATTCAGAGAGGTGTTGGATGTTGATCAGGTTGAGCGTGGCTGTGGGCCAATTAAACTGCTCCTCATAGTGTTCTTTCCAGCGTTCCAGTCGTCTATCCAGGGAGTTAATTATGGTGCCATTTTTCTCCGAGATTGTTTCACTTATCATTTGCCTTTTCCCACCCGTTTCCCTGATGAGTCGAAAGAGCTGCCTAGTGTTGCCTATGCTTTTTCCATCTCTTTCGCTTTTGTCACCCACAACTGTCACTGTTTGGGTTGGCGCTCATCTTCAGTGGTGACCGTAGTTAGTGGTTTACAACTTAACATTTATAGAACCTGTTCTAATTGCTTGTACAATAATTGAACAATTTAAACTTTTGAATCAGTAATGTATGATGCTTCACGATTGTAATTTATAGCATAGCTGACCGTGCCTGTGAAAATGGCATGCATTTCTTGTAAATACTAGTTTATACGAAATATAAAAATTATTTTTATTATTATTTGCGGATCTAGTGTGTGATTCTGTGTTGTATCCACCCTCCTGTTACGATGGAGTTCAGGAGGTTATCGTACCTTTTTTGGTACCTGGAGTGAAGGCCATGATACTTCTGACATGTTGGAATCACCTCTAATAATTTTATTACTGAAGGGAAGATTGTCTACAACACTAGTAATGTTGCTGAGCATATTACGATGCTCTCTGCTGGATGAAGGAGGTCGGTACACACAACGCTCATGTCATCGTACCCATAGCCACAGAAAGCCATCAACTGACATTACACGTCGGGCTCTCTCTCGAGTGGAACCCGAACGGCAAGAGGGGAGTTGGTAGTCAATGCGAAGGTGACATGGAAGTAGTAATGTGAAGAGGAGATGAAAGCGTGTGGGAAGACTTGGAGCGAGGTAAAAACGTTGACAGAAAACCAAACACAATGGAGACGCGCGGCTAAAACTCTATGTTCGTCTAGGAATTACAGAAAATAATAATAATACATTCCACAAGTAACAAACTATATAATGACAGAACATGTACAGGAGATAGAATAAGTGTATACATGAAGAATAACAGGAAATTGATACATTTAGGTGTTCATAAAGAGCGAATACGTACGTGCCAGTGAGGAGGATTTCTGAACTATGTCAAAAATAGTCTCCAGTCATTGACTTTTGGAGTTTCAAAGATCCAACCAGGCAGACACACAACTCCTTGCGGCTCAAATCAACAGTCAAAGACTTCCTGAATTTACGCCGGGTTTTGCTTTGACCAGAAACCTAACTCTTTCTCAAACCGACTTTGTCAATGAGTATAAACATTTCTTTGATGAAAAACCCAAATACTTTTGTTTATCAGAATATAATATTTATAATGACCATTATAAAATCATATTAGTATGTGGAATTTATAACACAAAATATAGGTGAAAGCATTTTGAAAGATGAGTATTAGGACTCATCTGCAGCAAAGGACAAAAGATGCAACGTTATAAAAAATGTACTGGACTGAATAAATTTTATCCTTATCAAGCTTCAAACACAGAGAATTACTAAAATTATTTCTGTTTACCTGTCCATTAGGTCTTATTATGGGATCACGTGCACCATAAGGGACCCATCCACGATTCACTAGTATGGCGGTTCTAGAAAGAAATCAAGTGAACCGATCACAAAATAGTGGTGCATGCATAGAGAAGTTAAACATCAGTACCTACCCAGACAGTGTATTATCAACAAAATAACCTAAATTATATGAGTATATTCACACAACTTCTTAAATTGCTTTATATATAGTGTAAATCTATTGTAGTCAGTGTGAGGAACACTATCCAGATTTCCAACACCAATATCAAGTTAGTGTTTCATTATGGTTCGGAGACTTGGCGCACGAGTCGCCGAAGACATTTCGTAAAAGCTACTGCAGACTTTGATCAAAAGCAGTCTGCTTCTTTCGATACTGTTTAAGTTAGCGGATCAAAACAAAATTTACCCATAATGGAATTACACTCTACCACAGAGCACAAGTTTTATTCTTATATTAAGTTAGCGGAGCCGAACTATTCCAGATATAGCTGAATTCGAATGTTCTGATAATCCAGTTGATCCTGAACCACTAATTTCATCTATTTATAACTGACCTCAGTCATTATATGATATTTGATAAATTATATTTTACCAAATTGGGTCTATTAGATTCTTACGCCGACATTGTTTATCTTTGAGTGAATTAGATAAGTTTAAATGCTACGATAGTTACAGCTTTGTCAGAAATCCAATGTAGACAGCCTTTTTTGTATTTGTTTTTGATATGGGTCAAATATAAATACTTACCCGGGTCTATTCTCAAGAAAAAATGGTGTTACAACGAAATAACCTGAAGCAGATGGAATTGATGTATATGACTGCATTGAATTGTTTTTTCGTCTCGACAGCCATTCTGCTCCATATCCATTGGAAGGGATCATATCTTCTATAAAAGACCGTGGTCCAATTATCACTTCACGTGAATGATCAAAGTGACCTTCAACAGAGATATGGGTAAATTCAGGTAGCTGGAGGCTAGAAGTAATCCTGAAATGGAAAATACAAATGACAACACGTCATCTCTAATGGAAGATACCAGTTATATGTACACAGCGAGGCATACACATTATGCAATCAAAAAGATTTGTGACCATCCCATGTTTGAGCACATTCCAAATATTACAACTAAAAATAGGTGAAAAACTCTTCAGAAGTACAACTCCTTACCATCTACCTGATAGATAGTTGTCATGAAATTGGCATTACGAAAACATTTAAATAATTAAAGATTACGTTAGTTCTAGTTTACTACGTATGGTTGCAGTAGTAGTTAGCATTAAATGGTTAGAACCGAAATTGTGCATTTTCATTTCTCATTCATTTTTGTGCACTTTTGGCGAACCATATAAACTTGGTGTGAGCGTTTAAGTGGGTTTTAGTCATCTGTGCAGACACAACTTACCTAATGAAGAGTCAGTAATCTACTTCAGTCACCCAGACGAACACCATGAGCACACTGAGGCAGTGAGTGGCTATAATGGTGTCACCAGTGGCAGCCAAAACCCTAATGCAGTGGGAACCGATCTTCTCATGCAGGATCATGACAGCAAGATTCAACTCAAAAGGAAGGAAGTTAACAGTCATCAAATGCTACACACAGTGCTATAAACAACGCGGAACAAAAGACGACGGAGGACTTTTACGGATAATTACAGACAGTAATGGACAACTTCGCAAATAGTGACATCAAAATCCTTATGGGCTATATGAATGCCAAACTGGGAGCAGATAGTACAGGAAGAGAACTCATAGTGGGTCGAGAGACTCTGGCTTGGAGACATGAATGAAAACGGGGAATTATTCGCAGACTTCTGCGCGTTCAGTAACTTGGTAGTCAGAGGGAGCGTGTAAAAACACAAGAATATGCACAAGCAACATGGATTTTCCCTGACGCATATACCACAAACCAGATAGATTTTATCTCAATGTTGCCTCTCAAGAAAGTGGAGACGCAGCTAGTTTGCTGGATACAAAGTTGAGAAGGGGAGCAGACGTGGGCTCAGATCATCATCTAGTTTAAGGTACGTTCAATGTGAAGCTGAAATTCCTAAAATCAACTGCGGACAAGCCACAAATCAAGTTCAACATTCAGAAACTGAAGGAACAAACTACAAGGAATGCTTTCACTACAGATATTACAGCAAAGTCGGATACACTACGTGGCATCACTGAGGAAACCTGCGTGGGAGAACATTGGAACTCTGTGAAGGTAATATTCTAGGAAATGTGTACAACTGTTTTACAAAGGAAGAGAAGACAAGACAAGGAATGGCCGTTAACGAATACCTGGAAATTGTATGGGTTATAATAACAGTAATAATTACCGCAACTTTAGCAGGAAACAACATACTCGTCAGTCAGATGAATAGGTTTAGCAGGAATCCGTGCATTCAGTGCATCAATTAATTCAATTTTCCACTTTCGTCTACGTATCTGCCAAAATCCTAAAGCAAATGCGGTAGCCGGGAAAACCTGCCAGAGGGTAAAGACGATAGAGTTTGAAACAGTCAACCATGAAAACAGTTAAAAGTTAGGAATATACAAATATATTTTGATTGTATGGAGGATTTTAACATGAGCTGACATCAGCTTCCCACTAGATCCAGAGGCCTGAATAGGGCCAGTCGCTAGTGAGCATCAGCCGTGACCAGTAGGGTACAGCAGGTTGGAGATGAGGCAGTAACTCATCGAAGAAGGCATTGCGAAGTGGTCACACTATGTCGTGAACTGGCAGAAGTTAGAACTCAAGAACCATTGGATTGGGTCCCAGTGGCTCAATGGTCTGCGAGCTCGTCTTGTAACCAGAAGGTCCTGGGTTCGGACCCCGATAGGTGCGTACTGCTGAAGAGTCCCAAACTAGGACGAAACGGCTGTCCAGTACTCCCAGGTTTTCCAGTGGTCCTCTAACTGATGTCGGCTCATGGTGAAATCCTCCATACAATGAAACAAAATCCCTACAAAACCAATACTTGAAAATATATTTTGGGTACAAAAACGTGTTGCCAGTGTTTGACTGACACTGACTTACCGGCGCCCAACATTGCACAAGAGTGCAGCAGTTCAAGTTGCCACACAACAAAAAGGAAAATTTCAACGTCATGACGGAGTCGTTTTTGGTAGAGGAATTTTCTTTGACGAAATACATTGGTAAAATACCAAAACCCTACATTAAAATTTCCACCTGCAAAAGTTATTTGTATTCAGATTCTTTTAACTTTCTTTTAGACATCGTTTCTCCTTCTTGCAACCTCCTCTACCACTCAGCTATTTAAGATTCTTGTAGAAGACATCACGCACGACATGCTAATAAACCTTTCTCAGTAGCATACATCATATAAGTTCATAATAAATGAATATATTGAGCAATGTTGCAGAGTATAATCCCAACAAGGAATACTTTTATTTGATACAACATTCAGCAACATTGTGTGATGATGTGCTGCTATGTTTTTTATCAGACAAATTTATTCTACAATGAATCGCATAGCCTTAGGTGATAAGCATTTACACGAGACATAAGAGACAGGCCAAATGACAGGGTAAATGTCATTCACAGTTAAAATTGCGGTACTTCAGTAATCGAGTGTGGTGGTTATTAACTTCTACAACTAACACTATTTCCTGGTAAATGTACTGACAGGCATCCATAGTTTAGTGGTACAGCGCCAGCCAACCAGGAGAGTGCTTTGGGGTTCGATCCTCGGCCGACGTACTTCCTTCAGTCCACTTAGCCGGTAGCGAGCCCAGTAGAGGGGAAAGGTCGGGCGTGAGGCTGGCAACCCCATCCGGTAGGAAACACTAGTATTACTGAAATTTCAAAGCTCTAGCTGGAAGCTCTAAATTCCAGTGAGAACATAAAGGAATAAAATCATGATAATAATAAATCTACTGACGAATAGGACCTCCATATTAGCTACCTGGTTTACCTCGCGCAGATCATATAATCAGAGGATAGCTGAAGGACACGGAAGGAAATGGCTGAATGTGTTAGCCACTTTACTTATTCCTGCAGTTATATCAGTCATAATTGACTAGCTACCGACGCAATCTCAAACAGAGATAAAAATTGGTTTGTTTGGTGTTACTCGGTCCTAGTGCAGACATGATATTATCCCAATCCACCAAAGCATATGTGTGAAGTTCTCAGACATTCGATCCGCCCCTTCCCTTAAAATATGGCTGTCGTACATGGGAGACAAGAAAAAAATAGCGGTTTCTAACCAAAGTTATCTGTGTTGTTTCTCGTGTTAGCTGCTATAATAATATGATCAACAATAATAAGATAAAGTGTAGGCCTCTATGCAAAGTGAGAAAGTGAGTTGATGAGGCAATGAAGCTGGATCAATTCAGATAACTAGTACAAGTGTAATGCACTTCACAGCGCTGAATCCATTAACGAGCAATATTGGCTGAAATGGGATCAGATTGGAAAGGCGTTATAGGTGGGTAATGGTCAGAATAACACACGGCACCAATGTATGCAGTTATCAGGTGTTTATTTGGGCAATATAGTGTGGTGTAAACTGTCTGTATGAAGTCATTTAGATGCTAAGAATAAATGTGACTGGAGAGTTTTGGTCCACAGTTTATTCACTTCTGGTCACTAGATAGATTGTGAAAATCCTCACTTATCTTCATCTCGGTCCATTATGATTTCATTGCATTTCTGTTTTGGACCTGTGTCTCAATCCAAATTGAGTAGAAGTGAATTCATGCATTTTTATGCCATGTTTTAAATTGACAACTCAGTCATTCGGACAGCAATAATTAGTCGTCAGCTTGTCAATCAACACCTTACGTGACTCACCAAGTACTAATGTCCTGCTATACCGATGTCATATTTTGGTCATATCACCAACTTTTTCCCCAACTAACCTTAATCGTTGATGAAAGTTGCGTTAGGTTCTTATCAGATTTTATATTAATAATTTATACTTTAAGAAAGGGCTAAGATTTGAATTTATCACTTTGATAGCTGTAGAGTTGGTGTTTTGTAAATACATCAGCTTAGACCCTTAACACCAGGCATTAGATTGTAAACTAATAGATTTTGTTCCAGACCACTTTGTTTTAAAAACTTATCTTTACTGGATAGGTCTAATTTTCTCTGAGTATCTGAAAATTACGGAGTGTATGTGTCAAAACAATAATAAAAGGAGAGAACTATTAATTGAACGAGAAAAGAGTAAGAATAACCATATATCTTGAAACGATGCTTTAGTTATCAGCAACAGTAACATACCAACATTGAATAACTGATCCACGTACGCCGCTTTTGTGAGCTTGTGGCGGACGAAGTGTGAAGAGAACCTCGACAACCAATTATAGCAGAACGATTCATTGCTAATCTCACTAAAAACATTATGAACCTGAAGTTGCAAATAAGAAACGAAAGCTGAACTCAGTCACAAATATTTGACATCAGTTTGTCAATTGAAGCTGACAACAATAAGGAAATGCTGACGTGCATTGTTTCTACAATGAGGACAGCATTAGCAAAAGGTTAAAAAATCTAAACTGCAGAAATACGATGGCGATGTTAATAAAAATTATGCATAACATGAGACCGACAGTGAGAAAAAAGTGGTTGAATTAACACCGATGTAGCGAAAGTAATACGAAGAACCTGTCTATCCCAGTCTGGTATTGCGTTATATTACGTATTACATTTATTTCCCTTATACAACTCAAGTTTACATTCTTGTTGGCCTATCTATTAACATTGATTGGTTTTTCTGGCTATGAAGTTGTTTGTTACGTCTTCCGGTAGGATTGTGATAATTAAGATTTGCCGAGTTAATAACTCACTGTAAACGCTTCAGCTGCTGAATCAATGGCAGCAGTAAAAAAAGACACTGGAGTCAAATGAACTTTAATCTACAAATATTTGCCCAGGTAAAAATTGGCACTTTTTAAAAGAAGGGCATTTATAAGACTTCTAGATGAACGCAGTTGGTCAAGCCCCTCTTAGACAAGCTACTGCCACAAACAGTATCAGGCATTACTATACACAGCGTATACAGAATAGGTCAAAAGCCTGACCCTACAGTAAGTGAACCTGTACGTCTCCTCAAAGTCGTACTAAACTCTAAAGCGGAGAGGGACGCTATTCTAAGCAACTCTCATATTCTCAAAGGATCAGGGATATATGTCCGCGCTGACTTAAGCCTGGCAGATCGTGTCAAAAGACAGGCTGCGGCACTAGAATTAAGTGAGCGACGCCGGAACGGTGAGAAAAACCTTAAGATTAAGGGTTTTCGGGTTGTCCGAGTTCGCAGTTTAATGATCCCGAAACCTCTGTGGGTGGGCCGGGGAAGCACCAATCTGAATTAACAGTCTGCTACACAAACGCCCGCAGCCTGTTAAATAAAAGGACTGAGCTGGCAAACATGATAGAAACCGGAAACCCGGATGTAATTATTATCACAGAGACATGGCTCACACCCGATGTCACTGACAACGAAGTTAACCTGCCAAACTTCGAAGTGCACAGGGTAGACCGACTAAACCGCAAAGGAGGGGGCGTAGTCATCTACCTCAAGAAAGGCTTAACCGTGCGTAGTATCGAAGCACTCGCCCACGAAAGTGAGTCGTGCGAACTTCTACGCTGCAGACTTAAATGCATAGGCCAAGACATTGACCTCATTGCTGTGTACCGCAGTCCTGACTGCAGTGCAGACGACTTCCTAATAGAGAAGCTAGGCTCCTGGACTTCAAAATGTCGAAGTCTCGTAGTCGGTGACTTCAACGCCCCAACAGTTGACTGGTCGAGCCTAACAACTCCATCTTCAGTCAACTCCTTTGATCATAAACTGCTAGAATCTAGTATATCGCTAGCCCTAGTCCAACATATCATTAAGCCCACGCGCTATGACTCACAGCACTCCTCGTCAACTCTGGACCTAGTGTTCTCACACGGTGAGGATGTGGATCTCATACAACATCTTCCTCCGTTAGGAAGAAGTGACCATGCTGTGCTCACTTTCAAGTTCACAGCAACGGCAGCAAGGGCCAAAACCCCAGCTCGACCAAACGTTTGGAAAGCTGACATAAATGCGATCGTCTCAGCAGCCAACTCAGTAAACTGGTACATCAATCCAGAGTCCCAAGTAGAAGCCGCATGGAACCAATTTAAGCAACTTTACGCCCAAGTAACTGTACCCTTCATCCCTTGGTCTGTTCCAAAGGGTCGGAAACATTCCCCCCCTTGGATAAACCGGGAGATTCGTAAGTTACTCAGACGTAAACGCAAATGTTGGAACCTGTTTGCAACACTTGAGACTTCTGAGACCAGGGAATTATATACTACTGCTAGAAATAAAGCTATCGCAGAAATCCGCCAATCAAGGATGAAGTTCGAGACACACCTGGCCCAAAATGCAAAGGCACAACCTAAGAAAATTTTCTCGTACTTGAATTTCAGGAATAAAACACCCAATGGTGTCCCAAACCTGATTATTGACAAAGATACAATCGAAGAAGATCAAGAAAAAGCAGAAGCAATGGCAAACTACTTCTCCCAAGTCTTCACTCAGGAGTCATCACTGCCTATAGGATCAGCTCTGGCTGCATCAGAAGAACATGGGATAGATTCCGTTGACATCGACCAAGGCATCGTGCTCAACTTCTTAATGAAACTAGATGCAGGAAAATCAATGGGTCCTGACAGTCTTCATCCAAGGCTTCTCAAGGAGCTATCAGCCCACATAGCCGGCCCCTTGACCACGATCTTCAAGCTATCTCTCCAAAATGGAGTGTTGCCACGTGATTGGAAAGACGCCATAGTAACTCCCATACACAAAGGAGGATCAAGACAAAGCCCTTCAAATTACAGGCCTATCAGTCTCACCAGCACTTTAATCAAGACACTGGAAAGAATTATCAAGAAAAGCATCATGGCTTATCTGGAAAATAGCAGCTTGTTATCTGGAGCACAGCATGGCTTCCGGAGGAACCTCTCATGCCTGTCAAATCTCCTGACTGCAAGAGAAAGCTGGGTTAAATCAAAGGATGACAGAAGACCCGTTGACGTCGTCTTCATAGACTTCAGTAAAGCCTTTGATAAAGTACCTCACAAAAGACTACTCATGAAATTGGAAAGTCTTGGTATCAAAGGCAGACTACTAGACTGGCTCAGGGAATTCCTCATAGATAGGAGGCAGAGGGTTAGGATCAACTCAAAACTCTCCTCCTGGACAGCAGTAAGTAGCGGAGTGCCACAAGGCACGGTTCTCGGTCCTCTCCTTTTTATTCTGTATATCAATGAGTTACCTCTGCTGACCGACTCCCCTATGGTCCTATACGCAGATGACTTAAAAATTTGGAGGGAGCTGAAGGGCAACAGTGATACGTCCACCTTGCAAGACGACCTCAACAAACTGTCGGAGTGGTCTGTTGAATGGATGCTCCCGATCAACGTGGCAAAATGTGCAACCATGCGCATTGGACAAGCAAGCACGAGCTCCTACGAACTAGAGGGAATAACACTTCCATCAGTTCAGACTCACTTGGACTTAGGTGTCATAGTTAGCCACGACTTAAAAACTACAGCACACTGTCGCGCGGTGGCTGCACGTAGTTTCAGGTCCTTATGGGCGATTCGCAGAGCCTTTACAAGAATTACCAGAGATATGTTCACCTCCTTATACACATCTCTGGTTAGGTCAAGACTGGAAAACTGCATCCAGGCCGCCAGTCCGTGTCTAAAAGGGGATTCACACATTCTAGAAAGTGTTCAAAGGAAGGCAACACGTATGGTTCACGGCATAGCTAACTTATCATATGAGGAAAGACTAGATAGTTTAAATCTCTTCTCACTGTCATACCGTAGGCAGAGAGGAGATTTAATCACAATGTTTAAAATTTTAAATAATGACTACGGACCTGACCTATTCTCTCTTTTCCTTCCCACCAGGTCGGAACACCTTAGAGGACATAGCAGGAGAGTTCAAAAGCCAAGGAGAAATCATATTGCTGTTGAGTACTGGTTCTCACATCGAGTCATAAACTCTTGGAACCGACTCCCAGAAGAAGTGGTGTCTGCAACCTCAACTGATTCGTTCAAGAAGGGTTTGGACAGCCAGAGAAATTTACTAGAAAAGGATTAACATAGGATCCAAGTTTTCCATCCTAAACCAATAAATCTGAAAATCTGAAACGCAGAATCCTCTAATAGAATTTGTATGACTTCCACTTATAAGATCTGATAATTCAGAAATATGATTGACTTTATGGTGAATATAGTCTAATGATGATGGTTGCGAGTAACCTTCCCACTCAAGTGTATGAATAGTAGCACCTAGAAGGACTATTCATCGCATTATTGGCAGTGAAACATCTGGGTGAAACGACGGTTGTGTTATGTCCAGACCCATTATCCAACGATTAGTGCTGCCTGGGACGACTATTCATACAGATAAATGGAGTAGTTACGGTCATTTATCAAATTTCGGCTATATTCAACATGTAATCAACCACACAAATGGTTTTCGCAATCCTTTTGATGAAACTCACACTAATTCCGTCGAAAGCTTTTGGAGTCATTTAAAAAACGGATCAAATCGGTGAATGGATCAAGAAATCCAATCATATACAGTTATCTGGATGAGTTCATGTACAGAACTTGGTTTAACATGAGTATGAAGACTCCTATGAGAAAATAGGAGGTTTCTTTGGAACATATACGACGTTATCCTTTGTAACTATTTTGTAACTGCATTACTTTTATTTATTACAATTATGCGCCGTTTTTTTAGTCTTCTGATTAGTCGAAGTTGTCCTTGACAAGGTCATTTGTCCGTTCGCCAGGTGGTTTCCGTTCGGGCTGCTATAGTTTGAAGTTGCACTTTTATTGGTGGATTCATGAGCATTTGACTTATGTGTCTATTCTTTAATGTTGCCGAATCTAGTAAATTTGATTCAGACATATCTGAATAATTTACCAATAAGAAGAAACTCAATTTCGGACCTAACATTTAGTGGCAGAATCTTCACAACTGTAACAAACCTCAAAGGCCTTGACAAGACAAAAGTCTGCCATTCAATACCCAATATTTAAGAATCACATTTCAGATTTATTGGTTTAGGATGGAAAACTTGGATCCTATGTTAATCCTTTTCTAGTAAATTTCTCTGGCTGTCCAAACCCTTCTTGAACCAATCAGTTGAGGTTGGAGACACCACTTCTTCTGGGAGTCGGTTCCAAGAGTTTATGACTCGGTGTGAGAACCAGTACTCAACAGCAACATGATTTCTTCTCGGCCTTTGAACTCTCCTGCTATGTTTTCCAGGGTATTCCGACCTGGTAGGAAGGAAAAGAGAGAATAGGTCAGGTCCGTAGTCATTATTTAAAATTTTAAACATTGTGATTAAATCTCCTCTCTGCCTACGGTATGACAGTGAGAAGAGATTTAAACTATCTAGTCTTTCCTCGTAGGATAAATTAGCTATGTCATGAATCATATGTGTTGCCTTTATTTGAACCCTTTCTAGAATGTGAGTCCCCTTTAAGACAAGGACTGATGGCCTGAAACAGTTTTCTAGTCTTGATCTTACCAGAGATGTATGTAGGGAGGTGAACATATCTCTGGTGATTCTTGTAAAGGCTCTGCGAATTGCCCGCAAGGACCTGAAACTACGTGCAGCCACCGCGCGCCTGTGTTCTGTTGTTTTTAGATCGTGGCTAACCATGACACCTAAATTCAAATGAGTGAACTGAATGGAGTGTTATTTTTTAAAAGTGGTAGAAGCTGATGCCTGCTTCTCCGATACGCATGGTTGCACATATTCCCACATTGACCGGGAGCATCAATTATCTAGACCACACTGACAATTTGTTAAGGTCCTCTCGCGACGTGAGCGTATCACTGTTGCGCTTCAGACCTCCTCAAATTTTTAAGTCATATCCGCATAGGAACATGGGCGAATCGGCGAGGAAAGATAAAAATAATAATTTTTATTTCGCGTAAACGTGCATGTTCACGGGAAATACA